AGTTCTGAGTCTGTACATCGACGGCCGAGTTAATGGAGAAGACAGATCCTTGCTAGTAGACACAGGTGCAACAAGAACTATTGCAAGACCAGAGTTATTGAAGAATCATTCTCGGATCTCATCTTCGACCGTGCAGTTAAAAACAGCAACTGGTGAAAGAATAAAAACGCACGGAGAAATACAAATGTCTGTCACCATCGGGAAAACACCAGGTGCTAATTGCTGATATTTCTGATCAATTCATCTTGGGGATGGATCTTCTTAAGAAACTCGGAGCTGTGTTAGACGTGAAAAAGGGCGTGTTAAAGGTCGGCGATGAAGAACTCCCTTTCCATGAAGACAAAGACGATGTCATCCGCCTGTTAACCACTCATGACGTCATTATACCCGGACTTAGTGAAAAAATTATAATGACCACTTTAGATGGATATTGTCGCCAGGGAAGCCTACGGATAGTCGAAGCACTAAACCAAAAGGAATTTCTAGTGGCTAGGGCTCTGGTAAAAGTTCAAAATGGCGTTCCGATTCGAATTATGAATTTGAAAGATAGTCCTGTTAAGCTAAGCAAACGAACTGTAGTTGGACAGTGTGTGCCCATCTCGGCTATTCGCTCTGTGAAATCGGAAAATCTATCTAAAGGAAAGTATCCAAGAGAGCTGATAGATATGGTCATTAAAAACACTCCAGATTTGGACAATAGACAACGACATAAGGTGAAAAGGGCAAGACAGGCATAGTCACACATAAAATAAATACTGGCAATTCCCAACCGATTAGACAACAGCCAAGGCGACTCCCCTTGGCTAAACGAGACGAAGCTGAGGAGATTATTAGAGACATGAGAAAACAAGGTGTCATCGAGCCATCGAATAGTCCTTGGTCATCACCGATAGTGCTTGTAAAGAAGAAGGATGGCTCCACAAGATTTTGCGTTGACTACCGTCTGTTAAATTCGGTCACCAAGAAAGATAGCTATCCACTGCCAAGAATAGACGACACCTTGGACACTCTATCTGGAGCCCAATGGTTTTCCACACTCGACCTAAAGAGTGGTTATTGGCAAGTGGGGATGGAATCGACAGACCGAGAGAAGACCTCGTTTTCTATAGGCTCTGGACTTTGGCAATTCACAGTAATGCCTTTCGGATTGTGTAATGCCCCCGCGACGTTTGAGAGACTTATGGAAGCAGTTCTAAAGGGACTAACGTGGCAGACATGTCTGGTATATTTGGATGATGTAATTGTCGTAGGAAAAACTTTTGAAGAACACCTAAAGAACCTGAGAGAGGTGTTTGGACGATTACGAGAGGCCAATTTAAAACTAAGTCCCAAGAAATGCTTTATGTTCCAAAAAGAAGTTAAATATTTGGGACACATCGTATCTCGTGATGGTGTTACAGCTGACCCAGAGAAGATTATAGCGATTCAAGAGTGGCCGATTCCTGAGAACAAGCACGAGATTCGAAGTTTTCTCGGTTTGTGCACCTATTATATACGATTCGTGAAAGGATTTGCCAACATTGCTAAACCATTAATAAAGTTGACAGAAGAGGGCAATGAGTACGAATGGAGTGAAAACTGTCAAATAGCTTTCGAACATCTCCGGCAAGCTCTTACTAGCGCACCTATCCTTGGCTACCCCAGAAATGAAGGAAAGTTTGTGCTAGATACCGATGCCAGTAACACCGCCATTGGAGCTGTTCTCTCTCAATTGCAAGACGGACAGGAAAGAGTCATTGCCTATTTCATCAAAGTACTGTAGAAACCCGAGAGGAATTATTGTGTGACTAGGCGAGAGCTCCTGGGTGTGGTAAAGGCATGCGAACATTTCCATAAGTACCTTTACGGCCGCAAGTTCCTGATAAGGACAGATCATGCAGCGCTAAAGTGGCTCTTGCAGTTCCGAAACCCAGAAGGACAGGTGGCAAGATGGTTAGAACGTCTTCAGGAATATGACTACGACATTGAACACAGGACTGGAAAATAGTGCGAACCATGATCGAAGTGATTTTTAGAAACACTAGCGTTCGAATTACAGTATGCTGCTTCAACCCACAGGGGACGACCCTCCGCAAAACTGTGAACTGTTACTTTTTCAAGAAAGGTGTTTGTCGAGCAGGCTCTGACTGCAGATTCCGACACGAGGCATTAAAAAGTAATACTAACGCAGTTTCTGAACGAGACGTTCAGAATTAAGAAGGGGGCAGTGTAACGGAAATGCTCCAGACATGACGTCGCCTTTGGCGCTCTGGAAATTTCTACGCGCGCGATAGTAGGAACATTCGAGAATGTACTGGACTTACATTGCTTGCGTGTATAAATGGTTGCGGACCGAACATCGCGGCAGTCTACTACCGATCGAGTACGGACGAAACATAGAGCGCGAAAAGCTGATATAAATTTCGAAGTGTGAGTGATATAAATAATCGATATAAATTGTACGGATTTTATAGTGTTTTAGTTTTGTTTAATAAATATTGATATAAATCGAACCCGAATTAATAAATCACGTTACAATATGAAACTCGTAAGTTTTATATATAGTAACTTTTTCATTTATTTTATTGCATGTGTATTAATCGACTTTACCTCCAAAGTGTTTATTGCCTTAAGACCCTAAATTGACTGAACTAATCAACAATATCCAACACACCAATATTTTTTCTTCCATACTACATTTTGTATTATCGATTCGTGTTATTTATTGTATTTAGTTTTAAACAATAAATGCCAAGAACGTATCAAATCTATCAACACATGCCAGATATGTGAACACACAGTACTCTCAACAAGAATAATAATAATGATTTTTTTGCTCAACAGGAACACCCATTTACAGGACAAACGCGAAAATACACACAGAAAAAATCTTAAACTAATTTAGTGCGTATCTTATTCTCCAAAATAAATTAATAAAGCATGAGCACATTTATCGAACACACGATATCAAGAAAATAAAATTGAATTTTCAACCCTTGTTGAACGGCATCTAAGGTCTCTTGGTTACGCACTTGGTATACAAAAAATCACCGCACCCATAAAATTACGAATGGAGTAAGCAGTTCATACGTAAACACACAATTGTTTTTCAATATCACAACGAACCGAGGGTCCACCAGATATAAGTACGTAGCGCATAGAACTCTCGCATCGATTAATCATGATCTAGATTGTCTGCCACTCTGAAACTTTACTAGTCATAATGTGCATGTTAAACCCAGTGGTTATTGACACCATTCCTTGAGATTCTTGGAAGACGATGATCATGTCGATATTTCGTATATTGGTAATTGTAACTGAACTGACATTAGATAATTCAAAATCCAAGGGTAACGCTACAGAAGCTCCTCGCCCAATCAATGTATACATTATGGATATAAAATTTCTTTAAACAAAAGTATTTTAAATGTGGAAGTTGGCTTCTTCGCCCGTAAGTTTAAGCTTGTATTGGTAATTATTTTTCCTTGACTTCATGGCGGAAACGGTTTCCGAAAGAAAAAGGAGACATTGTCAGTCCATCAAACGATCATAATAGAAATCGAAGCCTGAGCCTGAGGTTACAAACACTGACTCAAAGTGTAGATTAGACGGCCTACAATAATTTACTGTGAACACTCAATTTCATGCCTCAAACCATTGTTGCTATATATTTAAGTTAAAGTGTTATACTAATCTCAATTGCTTCAGTTCTCGTTTCTGCAGATCTTCAGGATCATAATATTCTCAAATAGGAAGCTATTTTCCGTGAGAACTTTCATTTATGGTTGATGTTGCTTTTATTAGTATCTATTTGTTTCTCGATTTTTTGTTGTAACACCAGACGCTGAGGGGAGGAGGCGCTAAATCCTGAACCGTTCAAGTTATTTGGGTGGGTTTGTCAAAGTTAATCTGCGGTTTGATACATTCGTTTTTTTTTATTTCAAACACGGACTATTAGCAATAATTGGTCTGAGCATTTTGCATTTGGCGTTTATTCGGATACAATGACGTAAATGAGTAGTTTCGCTTAGCTGAAATTGCACCAACGCGTTGTACTTGTTTCGTAGCGTAAAAGCGCGCCGTAAAGTTGGAAGTTTTCATCATCAAACGGCAATAACGTGGCACTAACCGCCCTCAAACTATTTACGCTGAAAAGAGAAGCGCCAGTACAAAGAAAAAGTTGTCAGTAGGAAACCTGAACTGTCACATAAACATAGTAAGTGTAATTAATTGAAATAATTCCCCGCATCCCAATTTCGTAGATTGGTTTTTTACATTCAATGCATCTGAATCTCGCCTCACAAACGTGCATGTTTTCCTTTCTTTTAATTCCTGTAACGATTTTTCTTTCTTCCAGGACGCGTACAGTTCGCGGAAAAGATGTGTGGGATATATAGATACTATTAATCCGTATGGGAGCGCAATGTGTTCTCGGAATTCTGTATCTGTTCTGCACTTCCGTTCGACTAAAATAAAACACGTGCACAGTGAAACAGTAGATGTGCGTCAGTATCAAACAAGAATAAAAGCTTCTATTACTTGCGTAATGGGAAGATAACGGGGAAGTGCGGATTTAACCTGTTGCACGCCGAAATGTTGTTACGTCAACTACACATGCGACTCTTTGTCAGTATTTTGGTAAGCACTTAAATATTAGAATTGCAAAGGCTCATTCATATTTAATAGCTAATCACAATAACAATGAAAGGATAATCGTAAGATTATAATAAAGATATTCGCGTGGAAATCGGAAAAATGTAAGGATCGCGTTGAGGGGTAGAGAAGGATAGTCGTAAACTAAAGTTTTATATCTTTTAGACTTAATATTTTTTCTCCTCTATTTTATCGCTACTTCAATAAAACATTTCCCGGCCGATGCTGTCTCTGTCACCTAGAGTTTATATAAGGAAGAAGTTTCAAAGGTTTGGGGGTAGATCCGATGAACAACCCCGAATCGCGTTGGCGCGCAGAACTCCTACAGGACTGTGTCCGTATCGCCTCAGTGCTGTCCGGAACCTCTCAAAACCCACAAATACAAGCGTACGCTCTAGGAAAAAAATCGTATCCGCGCTAGTATTGTTAAGAAAAGAGATCTTGGGGAGATACGAAGGTTTTTGTGGAACGAGTACAGAGTAAAAAGCAAGGAACAAAAATTGACTGTAAAAACATGTCTGTGTGTGTATGTGTGCTCGCTAATGAAAAACAAAGAACTGACTTGTGTCTCTGCGAAGAACGTTAGTTAAAAAGAAATCATCTAAGAGCGTACATCATTTCTTGGTGCATTTATGCAAAGTAGAGAGAGTTAAGATTTCGTCTTTCTCTGTCATCGGTAATTAGTGGTCGGCGGGCAGAAAGAGAGGGGGCACTGTACGTGTGTGATTCTAACGACGGCCAAGTATACGCCGCCCCTTAATTTATATCTAAGGGTAAAACAGTAAGAGTAAAGGAGACGGAGAGGGGAGTCTTGTATGTGGGGTGGAAAGGCGCAAGCGTTCTTGGCTCTTGCAAGCTTTGTCTAATCGGATTCATTAACGGGGATCCGGGAATTATGCGTCCATTGCGAGCCGGCATATTTTTGAAAGCAGTCGGACCCGCACCCCTTCGAAGACGAGCTCCGGCGGGACCTGGTGCAAGGTTCGTGCGCGCCCCCCTATGTGTCATGTGTGTCTGTGTGTGCTCTTGCGCTCTTTACAAGTGCTCATGCTTCATTAGTTTTTGGTGTTAAGTGTTGTGATATTTTTTATTATTTCTTTTCGCACTTTGTGAATGTTTACATTTCATTCACCCTTTCGCTCACTATCTTTTCACATAACTTTCTCAAACTTTTCAAAACTTTTATGCGACAACTTTGTGCGCCAAAAATTGATACATTTCCTCAAAAATCTTAATCAGAATGCGTTTGTTATCACTTTCTAACTTAGCTGTACTATTCCATGCTATCTTTGTGTTGGTTTAGCGTTTACAAAGTTTGCACGTGCTTTCGTTGCGTTTGCTCTCTGCAAGTTTTCCCATTTTCCTTATCGTAGTTGACAATAAGTACGAAGTTTGGTAAGTTTCATAAATTCTTATCTATACGTCAACAATTATTTTATGTGTGTACTTGTGAATGATTATCAAAAGATAAAGTTCAAAAGTGAGGAATTACATACCTCACTTATTCCTCATTTACAAACGTAGTAAAACGTCGAGTTTCCCGACAAAAACACGTGTGCATGTTATCCCAACGTAGGCGTGTTCAACCCTTACGAATAATTCACCCCACGAACTTTTCTCTAATAATAGCAAGCAAAAGGTACCTATTTCATCTAATTGCATTATTAAATATGCCCATATATTGGACTAAGCTCTACAAAATTAATACGCAAAGTCTCATTCATTATTCATCGGAAAACTTAAACGATTACAGACCGATACTTAGGCATGTGTTCGTTTTCACAAAACCGCTGTGTTTCATTTTTACACGTGGGGAAAGCGTCGAGGAATTTAGGTCAGGGTAGGTCCGAAACAAGACAGTTAAAACGGCTGAAATGCTTTCGCGGTTCGCAGTTGCGGTTAGAGTATAACAATATAACTTGAACTTACAACACCCAGTATCCAACCACGTGGCGGGATCGCAATCCTGAGAGTTTTGCCGCCGGAATATCAGACGAATGGATGTGCCAAAACGTAACTATTTCGCGGTTTCCATCGGTGGCAATGTTGAGATTCAAGGCGGACAGAAATAGTATTCGGTTCGGATTACGAGGGTTGTTCTGAAAGTTTAACTCCGTAGCTGAAGCGTGAACGACATAAAATAACCAAACACGTGTCCGCACTTCATTTTTTCTTCCCCAAGTGTTTAGCTTCTCAATGTCAAAAATGTGAGATTTTGGTTAGCTTTGAGAATTGTGGGCGGAGCAAAATGAGAACCGCCACAGCATAATCCGCCCATAATTTGCCACCGTATTTTAAAAAAAACACGTTAGTATTACTTTGCTTCAACCTACATCTAGAAATCGGCCCTAGCGACCATTGCTCTGAACAGCTGCACAATGCGGAACTCCAATCACATGATTTATATTTTAATTAGGTGTAAGAAAAGGCACGTAAAAAGTTTATTTTCCCCACGTATTGAATTGATAAGCGTATTTACAAAGTTTCAAAGTCGCTATTAATAGGGGCCGAACATTTTTATTTCGTGTTTCTTGGCGGAACGTTTACGTAGAAGGTGAAAGTGCAGGGAACCGCCGGTTCCACAATTTTCAGATTTTTTGTTAACGAATGATCGATTTGTTTAAATAATGCCGTTTCACATTCTAAATGGCATGGAATGCTGACCAGTTATCTGCAACGTTGGGCGCGCTGGAGCGTTTTTCAATCCAAACGGCATGGTAGATGGTAGTGCAGAGTTTTGTTCAAATGTCCATTAGATGAGAGGGCATTCCTCAAGTAACATATCTTCCCTCTTCCCGAAAAAAACATAAATTTACTCAAAATTAGTGACTACATCAAAAGCGGCCCCCGCCGCAAATGACAGCTCTGATGTTTTTCGCAATAAATGCATCGTAGTGTTCATTAAAGCAAGGGTTGTCTGAGTTATCACTTACGATAAGTGCTTAATTACCCCCCCCCCCCATACCAACGGCCAAACCAATCAAACACTTTTTTGGGCCACCTATGGATCAAAAATTGTAATTTACATCCCTCATGTAAACTGTCGACGTTCTTGTTTAAGTATCCCAGAACTATTAATTTTGCCATGAATTGTACGACATATAGACGTTCTGCAAGTAAAAGTTGTTTCAACCAACATGGCAGTGGTATCAGTATTTTGACGGTATAAACTCATACGCAGACCGACTCTTCATTACACAGGGTGGTGACTTGCGTAACGCATCATAGGGATTTCAATGTAAAATTCATAACATGCGATTATTGGCTCCCCAAATTATTTTAGAGTAAAAATGTATTAAGGTTTTTTGTAGGAAAAAATTTTTTACGTCAATCAACCCTATTAGTTTTCAATTTTTTGCATAATAAAGACGGAAAATTGGAAAATAAAACCCCCATCTTTTTCAATAATCTGCGATGCCATGGAATTTTCTAAAACAAAAAGATATCCAGTTATCAATTAGCAGCAGTTCGAAATGGCTTTTATGATCGACTTGGTTACTGTATTGCAGTTAATGGTGACTTATTCGAACATTTATTGTAAATTGTTATATTAGGAAACCGTTTTTAGTAATTTGGTCTTTCTTTATGTTGAATTTGCTGTTCTAAATATAATACTTTTTGATAGAATTTGATTTGTTTTATAGCGGACATTCCATGGCATGACGGATATTGGCGTAGTTTTTGTATTGTAAAATTCCATGGCATCACAGATTATTGAAAAAGATGGGGGTTTTATTTCCAATTTTCCGTCTTTATTATGGAAAAAATTGAAAACTAATAGAGTTGATTGACGTCAAAAAATTTTTCCTACAAAAAACCTTAATACATTTTTGCTCTAAAATAATTTGGGGAGCCAATAATCGCATGTTATGAATTTTACATTGAAATCCCTATGTTGCGTTACGCAAGTCACCACCCTGTATGTAAAAACCAATTTTTTATTATACCTGAATCACAATCTCCGTTTAAAACACTCAAATGCGTGCGAAAAAAGGCCTTTAAAACACACGTGCCATAAAGTTGCTAGGTAATGATACTTCAAGTATGACTTTTGAAACTGTCATCTGGGGTTGAAATAAAAAATCCTCTTAGGTCGCTTTCTGTAGATGCAGAACATTGCTTTGGCTTGTACCTATCCTTTGGTTGAAGCTTCCACAAACGCGCTCAATTTGGGGTATGCTTCCAAATCTGTTCCACTTTTTAGTCGCAGCAATAAGTGAAGTTTTGAATGAATGCACCAAAAGATATAAGATTTAAATACCTTTGACATCTCCTTCATATATGCCAGCATTATTGATGCATTTAAGACTGTATTCGTAAGTAACTTCCTATTCATCCATGGAAACAACTTTTAATATTCTTTAGTTATAATAGGCTTTACTGAATTGGGATTTTACACCTACCAACGTTTGTTTAGATTTTACAACAAGCGATTTAATGGGCGGTGTACTATCTTTTTCAACGCAAATCGTTTTATTCCAAAGACGATGATTTTTATAAGCAAACGTCAAGTGGCATTTCCATGGCAATCGTGAAATTACGAACCCCCAGCGCACTAGACATGTATTCGAGTATAACGTCAATATGATTTCATTGAATTTCCTATTTTTAAATTATACTGCAGGTATAATAAAAAATAATATAAGAGACACGTGTATAATCAAGTCTTTAAAGCACTTGCAACGTTAAAGGCACTCCGCTTTGCATTGTGCCCTTAAACTCGTTGGGCGTGCTTTAAAGACTTGATTCACTTGTATCTTAATATACTATTTTTAAATGTTTTATGTACAATTTACTAGAAGCGAGTGGGTCTGATATCTTTGGACTTTTCACTACTTACAATTTTTATGTAACAAAAGGGTTTTTAAGGGTCCAATTGCATAGTTCGGTCTAAAGTTGCCTTAATTCTATCGACTAAGCCGGTTTTATTGTAGGAATTGGGTTAATGTATATGCTGAAATAGTTATTTATATAACAAGAGCGCGAAGTTCAATTTCGCGCATTGAGACTGAAGGTATTTTGACGAGGCGAAGCCGAGTTAAAATATCAGTCAAATGCGCGAAATAACTTCGCGCTAGCGTTATATACAATATTTTTTCTACAACTGAACCGATTGTTAATTAAATTTGCTGTTTAAGTTCAACTTTGTCACGTGCGCGAAATACATTTTTTCACTGTTGACGATTTCGCGCACGTTGTCAATAGCAACCTTACTTATTAATTAACCGTTTAAAAATCTAGTACTTCGCGTTTCGAAATCCGTCAGAAAATGACAGGTTTTTTTGACAGTTGTAGAAAAATGAATTTTTTATACTGACTCCTTCAATTTCCAGAACGAGAAATTTAGTTTATATAAACAGGTTAATATGAAAACTCGTTAAGTAGAGGGTATGAACGCGTTTATACGGTTGTACATGGTCTAAACACGGAGAGATTATGATCAATTATGGTTTGGTTAATAAACTATCACAGCTAAAAAAATGTTGGGGAATGTATGCAACAAAACTGGACAAAAGGAATTTTTTGAAGAGGTATATCCCACCTTTTCTGGTAGGTACTGCTAAATTTGAAGAAATGAGGTGTTGGGGAAATTTAAACGTGGACACACCGACGATGGTTGTAGATTTTCCGTAGTATGTTAATTACTTCCGTTTCTTTACTTCGACGGTACGAACTCCTATGGAAGCGCAATGGTCTACCTAGTGGTTACTCCGCGGAACATGGCGCCGCCGTAAGAGTTTGTCATGTCTAACACATACTGTACTAATAATACAAGATGTTGCCATAATTCGCAAGTGTATTCCATGTACGAATCAGAAGTATATATAATTCTTAGGAAAAATTTACAACCAAAACCAAGAATAAAACTATCGATAATATTACTATTCTTTAAACTTTAAACGAAAAGTATCTGTATACTCCAACAAAATTCGAAAAAAAATTAACAAGTGGCGCCTCAACTATATGCAAACGATATATTT